TGCTGACAGTGCCCGCTGGGAGCTCCCTCCTTGGGGGCTGGCCTGGTGCTCGGTCTGCGAGCCAGCAGCTGGGCTTGGCGAAGCTCCCTCCCAAATGCTACTGCCCTGACTTACTTCCTCGCCTAAGTGAGGGAGCAGCAGGGCGGGGAGAAGCCAGCCTGGGATGACAGGGGCCAAATCCTCCCACCGGAAGCCAGGAGCTCAGAAGTTAAAGCCATCCAGCACCAACTTCACCATTCCCAGACGGGATAGAAGAAGGAGATCCTGGGGACCCTGGCCTGGCAGGAAAGACCGGTTCCTGACGGAGGAGACTTGGTGCCCGCCGGACTACCTCAGAGGCCCTGCCACTGCCAGTTTCGCACAGCTTTGGACGTCACCCTCTTTATGTGAGAGTCAAAATACATTGAAATAAGAGCTTGTCCATTACTTGTAAGTTCCAGTGGCCATCTACTCAGGCTAGAAAGCAACCCAGGAGGAAGAGCCTGGGAAGACAGTGATACCCAGGGGCCAGAAAGCTCAGAAGGCCCTGATCATGGCCTTGCCACCTACCCCCTTCCCCAAGCTGAGGCTCAGACTCCCAGACTCTACACTGGGCAGCTAGACCTGAACCAGGCCCCAGAGACGACCTGAATTCAGCTGGAGCCCAGAGACAGCCATGTGCCCTGAGCCACGTGGCCAGTGAGTGACAAGAATGGAAGAGGTTGGAACAGCAGGAGACACAGGGAGCTGAAACTCTGACTAGGCTCTGCCCCTCCCTCAGGTTGGTAAACAGTCAAGGGAACAGTGGAGGCGTCAGCACCTGAGCCGTGAGGGGCCCACTGGCCTCTACCAAGAGCTGCCACTAGGTACATCCCATGTCAAAAGTGAGAAGAGCCCCAGGGAAAGGGAAGTCTGGGAAATCAGAAGAGGGACCAGCCCACCTCTCGTTGGCTACATCTGCCCTCTTCCTAGTAGGTCACAGAACTTCAGAGTGAGACCTCAACTCCTTCCTTGACTTGAATCATCTCTCCGCCATCCCGACCAAGTGGTCACTAATCATGCGCTTGCATACTCCCGGGACAGGGGAGTTCACTACTTCTCAGGCAACCATGGCCATCTTTGGACAGCCCTCGTGGGAAGGACCTTCGGATTTCTGAGCCATTATCAGCCTCCCAGGAGCTTCCTGGGGCCATCAGATCAAGGCTGATTCTGCAAATAGGCCAAGACTTCCTGAGGGTAAGCAGCGCTGGGCCCTTCTCTATCCACGGTCTTTACAACCTGGGTGCTGCTCAGAACAGAGAGCAATCCTCCAGGCAAGGGATAATAGGGTGCAGCAAAGGAACACCCCCATCTCCTTTGTTCTAGAGGCATCTCTGGCTTTATGAGCCCTGAGCAGTTTGGTCATAGTTTGTTCTTTTGGAATGTATTTCTATTCCCAAGGTTTGCTCAGAGATGTTGGTAATCTGCCCCAAAGTAGGTAGAGATGAGAGAATGATAGAAAAAAAAAAAAATAGCTATATTGTTCATCCAGTACATGGCGTGTGTGTATGCGCACATGTCCAGGGGTCACGGGTCCCCTTGAGCCTGCTACCCTCAGATTCATCTGGGGCTGCAATTACAAAGTCTCTGGCAAAGAGCTGGAAAGGGAGCCCTCGCCCAACGGCCCTGCCAGCCCCTTTCTTGGCGATCTTGCCTGATTTAACACCCCCTCCCAACCTCATTTCTCTTTCTCTTCACTCCTCTTCCCAAGAATATCCTGACCTGTCCACCAGAGAATTTTTTAGTTCTCAATATAGAGATCACATTCTGTCTCATGTGATCTCTATAAGAATCTTGTGAGGTGATTAGGAGATGGCTTATCTGCCCATTTCCCAGGTGGAGAAACCGAGGCTGAGACTAAGCTAGTGAAAAAACTTGGTACACAAGTGGCTCAGAGGGGCCTAAACCATGCCTTGAACACCCCACCCCCCGCTGGCCCCCACCTTTTCACTCCTGGCTCAGGAACTCCCAGGCTCACCTGAACTACCTCCCACAGGTCAGGTCACCCACAAGCCCCTAAGATAAAAGATTCAGGGGCAGATATACCTGAATAATATATAATGCAAATGAAATGCAAATTAGCATACCACAAAAGACTAGCCCAAAGTTCCAGGCTTTTTGGGTAACTGAGCTAGAACTGAAGCTCTAGCTGCAGCTGACCTCAGCTCCTCCCTCGCCTCAGCTGTGCAAACCTTCGGGGTGGGGTGAGCTGGGAGCCTTCCTGCTTTCTAACGATCCCACCCCCAGTCACCGGCCAGACAGGGTGCTGCCTGGAACAACTTTCAGAAGCCAAGAAGATCCTTGGAAGATGGAGGGTGTTTAGAGACTGGGGTGAGGAATAGGAGTATTTGCTTCCCTTGTCCAGGTATCCAAGCAGACACCCCACATGGACTACATCTCTCAGACCTAATATAGATGCGCTGATTCCCGTGGACTCTGAGGTCTTCATAGGAGGTAACAGTTCATGAACCACACGCAGTTCAGGGACAAGGGTGCCCAGAAGCCCATTGGTGCAGTCAGGCAATGGCAAAGCTGGAACCGCATCTCAGGGGTCCTGCTGCACAGCCCAGCACTCTGCAACTGCCTGTTGTGTGACCTTGATAAGTCCATTCCTGCCCTGGCCCTCAGTTTCCCCAGCTCTACCCTGAGGGGTTGGGTTAACTCTTCCGGGCTCCCAGCTCTGACATTCTTGAATTCTCCAATATTCTGAAAGGGTACAGCCGAAGGGACACTAAGCTTGGAACAAGAAAGGAATCCTGAGTATCCCAACTGCAAGTTCTTTGAAGCTCTCAGGGTCAAATGTCTAAACTGTCCACCCAGGAACAGGAGGACCTTGCACTTGAGGCTTGGACACATCCGCCTCCTTGATTTACAAGCTCTCTGCTTGGTCACCCAGATGTCCCACCCATGCCACAGACACACCAGCCAGGCTCAAGTGGGCAGTGAAAGAAAATACCCTTGAATAATGTGGGTTTGAACTTCATGGGTCTACTGATATACAGATTACTGATCACTTAACCCACCCAGCTCAATTGAATGGGGCAGTTCAAACCCACATGTTTGAGGGTCACCCAGGAGTTGGGAATTCATGTATTTGAACAGCCGACTTAAGTTAGGCTCAGATTTTCAGGCACATGGGTGGTGGGTACCACTAACCCCTGCGTTGTTCAAGGGTCAACTATATACTCATGAGCCAAACGTGCAAACTCCAGATTCTGGCAACAAGTAACCAGTCTAGGCTGGAAGACAGATTGTGTTCATTGGGGTTGGGCAAGAAGTGCAGCTCCAAAAAATTGACACCATCTCTGATTAACCCTTTAGTGACTCAGAGAAAAAGAGAGATTCCCTAAAGATACTTTTTTACAGGTGCTACATTACCACAGATTTCAAAAACCCACGTAACCCTCACGGCCCATTCCAAACACAGCCCATAAGTGGGGTTCCTGACTGTTTAAATACCATGGGTAACACACACTGGGCGCACACACACTCGGTGTCTATGTACAGATACTCGAGGCCCTGGATTTGAGACCAGCCTACGCTGGGCATTGCCTGGAGGACCACAGACAAGCCTTTTAAATCTGAGCCCAGCTGTAAGATGGAGACATTACCGCGTGCCTCCCAGAGCTGCAATGAAATCAATGGAGCTGCTGTGAGTAGGTTTTGAAAACTGCAGGAAAGCTCTTGGGCCGTCTACAGTTAATGCGCCTGCGCTGCCCTGGGGGACTGGAGTCAGCAGCCCGAAAAGCACCCCGATGTCTGGGAAAGGGGTTTGGTGTATCAATCAGTAAGAAACATTCAATCCTGTAGAGAATTTTTGGTGAGTTTATTTAAGCCAAACTGACAATTGCCGGGAAGCAACATCTCAATGGATTGAGACGTGCTCCACAGAATGGCAGTTCAGCGCCTTATTTTACACACTAGAATCAAAGGAGGAGCCAGAAGAGGGTTACAAGGAAGTCCATTGGTGATAGATTAGGGGAGGCAGGAGAGAGCAAAGTGGGGACACCTCTGGGATTGGATAAAAGGTAAAATGACAGACACAGACCTCTTCTACACAGGTGGGTCAAGGACAGTTAACAATCAACAATTAGCATAACCATAACAATGAGATTTGTGGTCTCAGCTCGTGCCCAAGGAGTTTGGGGGGAAAATAGGGAAGTTAGCTCAAAGGTATGTTACCATAGATGCAAAAAAGACAAAGACAGGCTTCGTTAAGGTAAAAATTGACCTTTGTTAGGGAAAAATACTGACGTGACTACCCACCATGAACAGCTTTTAGTTCCTAAGTTTTAATTTCAGACCATTCTTTGCGGTTCCTTTAGGTCCCTGAGTTGGTCAGGCCACCCTGCAGGCCTCCCCTGAGCGCGTCATGTTAATGTGTGGCCCCTTTTCTCCCACACCAGGGAATTCTGGGATCCTGGTACCTGTAAGGGCCGGACTCCAGAGTGAGGTCTGAGTCTTCCTCCTGAGACCAGGGCAGTGAGGATTGCATGCTCCCGGGGTGCCCTTGTTCCCAGAAAAGAAGGTGGCAGGGACCCTTTCCAAAAAGGGCCGTCCAGCGGAGCCAACCCCCCCAAAGTACCTGGTGGAACAACTCTGGGCGCCCTGGGCCACAGGGGAGGTGGAGGAGCACTCAACCGAGCCTTAGCATAGGGTCATTGGGACCATAGTTAACGGGGAAATGCCCCTTCTGCACCCTGTGCGCCCAGCCCCAGGGAGGGACTGGCGCGAGGCAGCAAGTGGGATCACCGTCCGATTCCCGGCACGACACCAGCTGCGCCCGGGAGAGCCGAAGTGCCTTGCTTTTCCCAGCTCCTCCATGCGGCGGGAGAGGGCAGAGGCGGTGCGGTCCCGCGCTCCGCGAGGGATCCGGCTCTGGGCGCGCGGTCAGACCCCCTCCCGGCATCGCATGGACCCCTCCCCGGTACCTTCTCCGGGGCTCCCTGGGGCGCGACCTCGGTCCTGGGAGTCCTCCTTACCCAGAACTTGGAGCCGAGCTCCCCGGAGCCGCACAAGGTGTCCATGGGTCCAAGGCGCGGCGGCAAGGAAGGCGATCGCGGTCCCAAGCCGGTCTGGGACCGGGTGGATAAGCTCGGAGCATCCTCCGCCCCTTGCTCCTCCCCGGCCCGCCCCGCCAAGCCCTACCCTCAGGGCCTTCGGGTTTAATTCTGGTGTCTCAACGATTGCTAGCTGAAGCTGCAGCTCTGGGAGGCACTTTGGACGAGGGTGGGGAGGTCATTTACACGATGACAGCCCCGGACTGGCCCCTGGGCCGCGCGGGAGAGATGCCGTTCCAGGTATTGAGACCGATAGGACTGGAGCAGGGTCTGTTTCCAAGAGGTTCATACCAGCTCCCACCACGCACAGCTCTGTGCGTGCTGATGAGCCTCTGAGACCGGAGAGGGACCTACCAAGACCCCTGGGGAATAGATCCTTGGAAAGGTCACGTTTATCTCGAGCTCAGCCTCCTTACCTTGTGGGAAGACTTGTGTTCCCAGACAATCCTGAAGGCTACATCTCCCCACGGGTTACTGGAGAACTGACAGACACCCACACATAATGTGCCTGTGTGCACGCCTACCTGAGGAAGGGGGACAGGCACGGGGGCCAGCATTATCCAGATGGTGGCTTCCTCTGATTCCCTTAAATTGTTGCCTTCCTGACGTGCTGTGGCTCCCTGATCTTGTGGATGTCGCTTTAGCATTGTTCTGTGCCTCCACTTGCACTTCCGTAAAACAGGGATAAGCAGAGTACCTACCTCTGAATATTAAACAGGAAAGGTACATATTGCAAGCACATTTAGTAGGCACCCAGCCTGTGTTAATTTCCTCCACTTCAGCCTCATGAGGGAGGAAGATGGGCAGGTGAGGCCCCAGGAAGTGCGCCACACTAGCACCCTCCTCCTAAGGATGAGTCTCCACTTGCCCATCTGTAAAATGGGTTTGGGGTTAGTAGCCTCCTTCTGCTTGCCCTGGCTTGGCCATGCTGGGATCCCTCCCTCCCTTCATTCCCCATTCCCCCAGTCACTCTTTCTTTCCTAACAGGATCCCAGAAAGCCAATTCACCACCCTTCTCGAGGCTGAGAAGGAATCTCTGCCTCCTCGCTGCAGCTCCTCCTCCAGGTCCCTCTCTCCCCTGCCCTCAGCTTCCCAGCCTTGTCGCTGCCCGTGGGGTCTGGCCAGCTCTACCCTGGTGATTCTTTCCCTGGCACTTGTTCTCAGGAGAAAGTGTTTTCTTCCTTGGCTGCTCCTTGGCGTGAGCAGACATCAGCAAGATGGCATGGCAGCAGCCAGCCACCACCTGTCCTTCTAGGCAGGCAGCTAGTCACCAGAGGGAAGTGTCTGAGGCCATGGGCTAGCAGAACAGAGATCTGAGCTGGGGCATGGGAGCAGGGTGGACAAGGCTCCCCCTTTCCAGCCAGTGGCACTGGGACCTCTTCCCTCCACTGGGCAAGTTCTCTCAGCTCTTTGTCTGCCCCTCCTCTCCCTTACTGACATCCCATCCCGCCCTCTACTCCTTATCACTGAGTCAAAGACTTTACAGAGATTTTACATTCCTATCCCAACACGCCTTGGGTTATATTTAGTTGTGAAGAGTCTGTCTTCCTTGCTAATCTGAGAGGTCCCCAAGGGCAGGACGGACGGAGTCACCCACAATCCCTTTCTATGCCTTGGGGCCTCAGTAAATCCTTTGATGTTTCTGGGACTCAGCTTCTTCAGCAACTTGGAACAGATGCTATCTACGGTCTCTCCTAGCTCTGGTGATCTATGCTTCTATGGTCTGAGCAACCAGCAGTTGTCCTTCAACCCTTCCCCTCACTCTGGCCTTGGTTTCACCAGCACCTCCTACCCTGTGTTTTTGCCTTGATTTACCCATCAGCCTCCCTGCCTCTCTCTCTCTCCTGTTTCTTCTCTAAAGCACCAGAGGAACCATGAGACCAGCTGGGAGCTTAGGGCCATGCAGAAGGTGAGCTTCCAAGCAGTCCTCCTTCCTGAAACGGGGAACACAAGACCAGCCCAGGCTCCCACTCAAGACACTGGCCCCAGAGCTGGCCAGGCTGTCCATTGGGTAGAGCTCTAGTTTGGGGCCATGCCCTTGGATTCTGTCTTCAGCTTTGAGGCTGCAGCACCATCTCCTTTGGTCCCAGGCTTCTCTTGTTGCCATTAGAGAGCCCTTCTTGAGCTGGTAACCTCCAAGACCATAGTGGGAGCCCTTGGCCATTCTCGCCTTCTCCCAACTCTCGAGGCATTGAGGGTTCGCCCTTCCTGGCCCCTCATGGAAGGTGGCTCCTTACACACAGCCCTTGAACAACGACCACAATATTTTCTAGGACATTGTGGTTTTGGTTGTTCTCACCAGAGCAAGAAAACGAGGCCTTGAGATGTCTTATGGTGGCAGAGACAGGGTGTGCTCCACATCTCCTGAATGCCAGCTGTGTCCACACAGTCCTCTTGGCAGGATGTATTTCCCGTGTCCTTAGCTGTTGCGCTCATACCCCCAGCCCATCTTCAGGGTTACTTGGGCTGCTCTGCCCCCTATGCCTTACCTCCTTCTGCACCTCGAATACTCTATTCATCTTTGAAGATTTCACTCAAGCCCCACCCTCTAAAGCCTTCCATAATCCTCCCTCACCCCAATCCTGGGCTAAGGGACCCTTCCTCTGCATAGCCCTTCCTCCCTATATTGTTCTCATTGATTGTCTTGCTTCCCTCTCCCAGAAGATGGTGGACATCTTAAGGATTAAGAGCCAAGTCTCATTTATCACTGTATCCTCAGCACCCAAGACAGCACCTGGCAAAGTCTGTCCTCAGGAAATGTTTGTTGACTGACTAAACAAGTGATATAGTAGGCAATTAGACAGACATGAGCAGAATAGGAACAATAGGCCAGGTGCAGATCGGAAAGCCCCAGGAACCTAGCAACAGGCAAAACTGGAAAAACAAGTATTGTAGAACCTCATCCTCAAGGTGACCTTTCCTCCCCCAGCATATTGCTGGTCCTGTGGTTCAGACCTTCCCCAGACTTTTCCTCCCCTGGTGTGTCCCTAGTCGTGCAGTAGACCCCCTTAGAGGAGGAACAAGGGGTCCAGAGAATAGCCTCATAAGGCTCCCATACTAGCCCTTGCACGATCACTCCCTGAAGCACTAAGCCCTCAAGTCAATGAGCTTCTGACCTACATCAAATAATCTTACCAAAAAAGAGCTTCGGGGCTGTTGATCACAGAGAGTTTTGGTGAAACCAGAGGTAGCCTGTAGGCCTCAGCTGTGTTTTAGCTTCTGCCCCAGAAAACCAGCAAAGCCACTGCTGATGGCTGACGTCAGGACCAGCTGTGATGACTAATGAAGGATCCCCCTACCCTGGCTCAGACCAATCAGTGGAGATGAAGACCCTGAGGAGACATGCCTGGAAAGTTAATGATATTCTATTGAGATTCCCCCCCCCAGACACCTCCAGACAAAAACCCTTAAGACAAGGACCCAGCCCTGGCTGCGTGGTTCAGTTGGTTGGACATTGTCTCACAAAGAGAAAGGTCGAAGTTTCGATCCCCAGTCAAGGCACATGTGTGGGTTTCTGTCCCTGGTTCGGATGCCTGTGAGAGGAAACTGATCGATGTTTTTCTCCCTCCCTCTAAAAATAAAGAAATAAAATCCTTAGGAAAGTAAATAAAATACATAAATATATCCTGGGGTAAGGATTAAAAAGATAAAAAAAAAAGACAGGACCCCAGCATATGCTTTTTCTCTCTCTGGAGCACGCCCGTGCCTGTCCCCCTCTTCCTCTCCCAGGAGTGTTTTCTTTGCCTTTCTTTCTCCTAAGCTCCAAGGGCCCTTCTTCAGCCTCTGTAACTTGTTTTCTGAGCCCATGCAATCCCACTGGCTCACTTCTTCTGCCTCTGTGACCTTCTAAGTAAACTTTCGCTTGTATTTGAGTCTTGGCTCTGAATTCTTTCTTAACCAAACTCAGGGACCGAGGTCTAATATCTGGTGCTGCTTGCTGTTAACACAGGTATCTCATGTCCAAAGAACAGGTCATAGGTAGTGAGACCACTGTGGCATTAGGCACACTCCCAGCAGTGGGCACTGTCATTCTGCTTTTGAGTTTTCAGAACCAAGAGTTTCCAGGTGGAGGCTCCGAAGAGAAGCAGTAGAGACCTGTGGGTTGAGCTGCAGCAGAGAGAGGGACTGAACCTCCCCCAGCGGTGTGTCCCAGCCTCCCCCCTCCCTCCTGGCTGACTGCAGCTCCAGGCAGGATAGGCAGAGCATGTTGCCACGTCTCCTCTGCCAGCGAACATCCCAGGGGAACCCAGCGCTGGGGGTTTCCTGGCAGAGAGATGGAAAGATAAAATGATTGCAAGGTACAGCTCTGAGCAGGAGCGGCAGCAGAGAGAAGAAGAAAGCAGAACAAGGCAGGGGCAGGGAGACCCAGGGACAGGCAGTGCTACAAAGGGGAGTCAGGCGGGAACTGCCAAGGCGGGGGAGGGTGTGGAATGGCAAATGCACATTTTAACTCTCCTCTCTGGTCACTGCCTAATTCCTTTTAGTCCCTTGTGTCTCCTTGAAGGCCTGGAGCACCCCCAAACCAGCTTGTAGCCCCCAAACCCCAGCCTCCTCCTTCTCTCCTGTTTCTTCCAGACCCCAGCCTGGTGGGGGCCACACTGACCCCACTCACAGCCTCAGCAAGGCTGCCTCTCGGCCCGCAACCTGCACTTGATCTGAGCCGGCATGTATGTAAGTAAGCACTGGCTGCTGTGTCCGACTCAGGAATTTCCAAGACAAAATTTCATTAACTCCATGGGCCATAGTTAGCAAGTCCCACAGCTGGGCCAGGGCTAAGACACACAGAGTTTCCAAGTTCCCTTGCAGGATTGTTGCCTGGGCATGTCACCTCCTTGACCTGCCACGCTGGTCAAGAGCAGGGCAGCAGCCAACAAGTAAACTGTGAGTTAATTCCCCTCCTGGCAACCACTGTCCTGGTCCTCTGGCCTCAGGCAGGGATCCCTGGGTACGGTGGCTAAGCACCCCCATGGCTGGGCTTCCCCACACACAGGCAAGTCCTTCACTGGGCCCCGCGAGCCAGTTTCCCCTTTTGGGGCGCATGGTATGCAGAGCACCTCTCCATGGAAGGTGTCCACCAGTGCTGGCGTCCTCTCCCTGGCTTGGTCCCTCTGTGGAGGGGGCACCTGGTTGGGGGGCACCAGGTGAGGTTGCCTTGTTCTGCATCTGGTGTCTGAAACCCTCGCTGCACTGCTGTCGCCAGCCCCACAGGAGGGGCCGCTCAGCTGGCCCAGGGGAGCAGATAGGAGGCCGTGGGCACCAGGCTGTGATGGGTGGGGACCGGGAGCGATGCTGGACGGAAAGGCTGTTTAGAAAGTGGGAGAGGCCTGGGTGTGGCATGGGGAGAGGACAAGAAGAGACAAGGGGGTGGGAGGAGGAAGAGGTGTTCTGAGGTTCAAGGGCAGCATTGTGTCAGGGAAAAGTGATTCCTGGGAAACTGAGTAATTGCAGAGCCAGCCTTGGCCAGCCTTTAGACAAGCACCCGTTGCTTACAGACACCTTTTCTTGTGGTTTAACCTCTCTTCCCGCGCAGGGTAGAGGGCTGTGGGCTTCTCTGAGTCTCTGAGTATGCAAAGCTTGGAGTTCATGTGTACATTTCTAGGAACACAAATGTTATTGTGCCCTGGCTGGTGTGGCTCAGTAGATTGAGGGCTGGCCTGCAAATCGAAAGGTCGCCGGTTCAATTCCCAGTCACGGCTCATGCCTGGGTTGCAGGTCAGGTCCCCAGTTGGGGGCATGTGAGAGGCAACCGATCAATGTTCTCTTCCTCTCCTTCTCTCTTTTCTCCTTGCTTCCCAGTCAGAGAACGTACCTAGGGTGTAGGTTCAATTCCCAATCAGGGTGCATACGGGAAGCAACCAATTGATGTTTCTCCCTCACATCAATGTTTCTCTGTTTCTCTCTCTATCTCTCCACTCTCTCTCTCTCTCTCTCCAAAATAAATAACATATCCTTGGGTAAGAATTAAACAAACAAACAAAAAAATCCCAATTCTGCCATTTCCTGACCGCATGACCTTGGGCAAATGTCTCTGAATCCAAAGCCTCATGGGAAAATGAGAGCGATGGTACATCCCTTGCTGGGGTGTTGTGAGGAGTAAGTGAGAGACTGCAAATGAGCCTCAGATTTGTTTTTAGCACCAACTCAGCTCCCTCCTCTTCCCAGTTCCCCTCCACTCAGACAGACCTTTTCCTGGAGTCTGGGGGTAGGAGAAGCATAAGCAGCCAAGCCTGAGGTGGGAGCCCGCAGCCGTTGGCATAATTTCCTCTGCCCCCACGGAGGAGGCTGGGAGCAGAAGTGCCAAGGTAGATATTCTTACCTCCAAAAGTCCCCATGTCCCTGAGGCTCCTGGCCAGTTCCAGTTCTACCCCTGGGGGCCTAATCCAAGACCTGCTGCCTCCACTAGCCTTTCCCCACCCCCGGCTTTCTCAGACCCCTCTCTCTACTCCCTGCCCCAGGTGACCTGGCAGAATCAAAAAACCACCCAGACAAGTAACATGAGGGTAGCATTGTTGTTATTATTACTACTGTTAGTAAGGTTCAGCAGGGTCATCATTTCCATTTCAAAGCCCTTTTAATGGGACACAGCAGTTTCCATCATCGAGAAAGACTTTACATTGTTAGGGGAGATGCCCCCAATCCGGATATTCACTTTGACTGGTGGGGGGAGGTCCTGGGCTGGAATAGAGGGAACAGGTAACAGCCCAGCTGTCTGGATTTATCTTGGCCCAGAATCCTCCAACCATTTGAAGAAAGCAAGCCCCCAGAACCCCTTCCCCACATCCCCAGCCTTACTAAGGAATAGGCAGCTACGGAATTCTATAAAAATATAAAAGCTTGACCTGCCTGCCTAGGTGACAACACTCTAGGAATTTTATACAGTTTTGCTTAAAAAAAAGAAAAGAAAAGACTGCTTCTGTATACAAGCACCTTCCCCTCACCCTACTCAGGGAGCAAAGAGGAAAAAGAATTTGACATTACTGCAGGTATTTGGATCAAACCCCAAGAGGCTCAAAACCAGTTGTTTACTTTAAGGAGTGGTATTATTCCTGCCCAGGTTAGGAAACACGAGGCTGGAAGCACGAGGTTGGAAAATCCTCCAGGTTCATCGCCTGGCAGTCTGGCACCCCCCCACCCCCACCCAGGTCTCACCCGCACCCTCTGGTCCCAGGTTCAGACAGCGGCAGCTGTGAGGGCTGCTGGCTGCTACTGAGTTACACGAATCCTGAGGTTTGAAGGTGCTGGCCGTGTCCAGGGGAGTGGGTTTAGGGTGGTCTTCTGTGGGGGACTGGCAGGGAACAGGCTGGTTGAGCCTGTGGTTGGTGCCTGTGGTGCCGCTTTTTAGCACCAGGGTTTCAGGGAAGAGACTACTGCCCGTGGTAGCACTGTTACGGAAAGCCAGACTCAAGACACGATTCAGGGAACGGAGTAAGCCTTTATTCACACGCGCGGGCTCAGAGGAGGCAGTCTCCAAATTCTGAGCCCCGAATCGGGGTTAGATAGGGGTTTATAAGCCCTAGCATTCCGGCAGGAAACGGATGGGCTTCCCAGGTGGGGGAAGGGATTAGCATTCAGGTGGGAGATTGATGAGATTGATGTGCTACCCAGGTGGGGGAAGGGATGTGAAAACGGGCTACAGGAACAGATTAAGAGTTAACCTGGGAGGGGTCTCTGGCTAGGCTGCTCCTCTTAAGTCATCTTGCCCTTATCAGCACCAGAAAGGAGGTTCTGGGCCACGCTGCTAGTCCTTCCACCTGTCCCCTTCTTCCTTCCCCCGCCTCCCTCCCTCCCTCCCTCCTCTGGGCTGGCTCCCATGGGGCAGCAGGCCGTGTAAACACCTTCCCAGTCCTCATTCGTCACCCCCCGGGGAGCCACCTCTTTATTCAGTGGCCTGGCTTACTGACCCTACCAATTCCACTGGAAGGTCATTTCTGGACACCTGGCCCGGCCCCCCCCCCGCCCCCCGCCGCCCCGCCTCGGTCTGGGAGGCAGCAGCCTGCTCTGTACAGCTTAATCCCGTTGCCTGCCCTCACAGACCAGCGCCAGCAGTGCCGGTCAGCGCAGCACCCTGCCCCGCAAAGTGGGAGGCTGAAGGCCAGACCGCTCGGGTCACCCCCGCTGAAGCCTGGGCAGGGAACCCAGAAGCACACCCACCCACGGGTCTGATTTCAGCCGCTGGAGCTGCCACTCCCAGCCTCAGTTGGCCCATTAACCAAAACAGCTTCATTACGCCGATTTCCAGCTTTCAATGTGCCGCTGATAGCTGTCAGCAGAAATAAGAGTTAATCTGGAATTATGTCCACAGAGCTGCCTGGCTCAGAGGAAGTGATAGATAATGCCTTGATAGAAGCCAGAGTTGAACCTATCTGCCCAGGCTTCCCCTCCAAAGGGGCTTCTCCCCTCCTCCCTGCCCCCAGGGAGGTGAGGCTGAAAGGTTGCAGCCCTCCAGTGAAAGGCACCTGGTTCTCTTTCCCTCAGACAGGGACACACACACATCCACTCAAACGTAGACACACTCACGTATACTCACTCATATACACACACACACATCCATTCATACACACTCACACACATACACATCCATTTATACACATTCATACTCATTCATATACGCACTCATATATACACACACTCACACATACACACATGCATTCATATACTCACACGCATACACATCCATTTATACACATTCATACTCACTCATATACGTGCTCATATATACACACACTCACGCATACACACATCCATTCATATACACTCACACACATACACATCCATTTATACACATTCATACTCACTCATATACGCACTCATATATACACACACTCACACATACACACATCCATTCATATACACTCACACATACACACACAGCCATTTATACACACACACATATACGTACTTGTACATACACATCCATACACACACACATCCATTCCTACACACTCACACATACACACGCTTCCACTCATACACACTCACTCATATACACACACTCTCACATATACACACATCCATTCATACATACACATACAAACTCACACACACACACTCCTACACACAGAAGCAGCTGTGGCCTCTTCCCTCCCCGTCGCCCACACCCCATCTCCAGGAATCTCTCTCGAACGCCATCTGGAAATGCCTAACTGTCCCTTGTGCTTTTACTCTGCACCGTGATTAACTTTTTATTTTGGAAAATTACTTTATTATATAGATATAGATATGTATGTATGTATATATAAAAAGGTTCCATTTCATTTGTAAAATCTTATTTTTTTTCTTTTTCTCTTTTTTTTTTCCTACAGAAAATGATGACGAGGTTCAAGGAGAAAATAAGTTACATTACAGTTTCCAAAATGGCTCTCGCTCTCCGCCGAAGATGGGCCGCCGTCAGGGCAGCACTGCGCTCGCGGTCCCAGCTTGTGCTTTGCAAGAAGAGGGAATATAACTAGACTGGTGATTTTAGGTTAAAATAGCCAAGAGACAGACGCCTTCGCCTCAAAAATATTCTGAGACACATAAAAGTAGAAGGAAACAAGTCTCTTCAGTCACAAAATGTCGTACATCCCGCATATACTAGATTCAATTAATTTAATAAAATAGAATATACATAGAGATTCTGCACAAACGTATTGCTTTCTCCCAACAGCTCCTGGTGTCGGGAACCTCAGCTACACCGGGCCTCTCTCTTTCTGCCTGGAGCCAGGGTGGTCGGGGCGGCTGCTTCCAGCTCTCTGGAAATCCTGCGTTTGCCAGTGCCCAGTGCCACTGAGGCAGGGAGGAGCGCCTCCTTGGTCTCCACACGGGACTTTTGTCAGGAATATAGCCCAGGAGGAGGAGCTAGGATTTGGCGCCCAGTGGAGAAAGGTGAGTGGGAGAGTGGGGCAGGACTCAGGGGTCCAGGTCTGCCGGGTCAGAGGGTAAACCGGAGACACCCAGCATGTCTTTCTTTGGGGAGGGCGACGCAGCCATGCTGTCGGGGGGGCCAGAGGCCGAGAGATCCTTGGAGTCGCTGGACGGAGCCCTCCGCCGTAGGCAGATGCCAGGGCTGGGTGGGGGCCGAGCGCCCTGGCTCTCTGGGGGGTCTATAGAGATACTGGGCGGACTGAGTTTTTTCTTGGGCCGGCTCCCTGGCCCCCCAAGAGGTGGTCCCCCGAGGCCAGAAGGGCCGGGGCCCAGGTGGGCTTGGGAGCCGCTGTCCAGGCAGCTGACAGCGATCGAGTGCCTCCTCTGTTCCTCCAGCCAGGACGCAGGCCGGCGCCGGCAGCTCTGGGCCTCCACGCTGTAGCACTTCTTCAGGTCCCGCGAGGATGGGGGCTCCTCCTGGCTGCCGACTGCCAGGAGGTCTCCTGAAATCCAGCTCAGCTCCGTGTCCAGCTCTAAGCTGCTCCTGGTCTCTGGTGGGCTTTTGCCCCACGTGGGCTCTGGGCCTGGGCAGGGGACTGGTGGGTGCATGTGCTTCGAGATCTTGCTCTGGCTGCAGGAGTGCTGCTGCTCCTGGGTGCTCAAGCGGCCCCAGAAGGAGGAGGTCCGGGCCAGAGGTGGGGAGGGCCCGCTTGCCTCTGAGAGCAGGTCCTCCCTGCTGCCCAGGCCCTGAACATCCAGGGAATCGGTCCTTATTGCTGCCTGTATAGGGTGAAGGGAAGGCTCAGCTTGGGGGCTTCCTCTCCCCCATGAACTGTCCCACCAGTCAAGCCAGACAGCCCTCTCCTTCCCCTCCGGGGCGCTGCAGGACCGCCCTAAGCAGGGCTACCAGTATTTGCTCTTGTTAGGGGAGGGAGGGCCATGCGAATCCTGTCCTCTAGCCTCCCCCATCTCCCCAGTTCCCGGCCCCTGGGACCCAAGAAAGCACAGGACCAGCTCTGCTCCCCAGCTGGCTCCTTCGCGCCTCCCTGCCTCTGCCTACGCTCTTGGGCCTGAAGCATCCCTCAACTTTATGGGCCCGGGTCCTCTGTGACATAGAGCCCGGGAATCTCTACCCTCAAATACAAAGGACCTCTTCCTCTTCTTTGTGCCCTGCCGCCCCAGGCACACGAACATCCCAGCGCTGTGACCTGTCGCTTCCATGATCTGAAGGGTGTGTGTCTGGGCTATCAAACCCTGAGCTCTGGAGGGCAGGGGCCGTCTCGTCTGCCTGTGCCTCCGGGGCCTGGCACACACAGGCTGCTCAGGGGATATTGCAGGATGGAGGAGGACTGTACCTGTTCCTCCAAGTGGGTGGGATTGAGCAGGTCCTCACGTGGCCATGCTCACTCACACGTACGGGCACACACAGCATGGGCTGCGGGCTTGTCGCAGGGGGACAGGCAAGCCTCGCCTGGCTGCAGGAGCCTCTGCTCTGTGCCTCTGGGGTGTGAGCTCTGGGTCGTGGGCCCCTAAAACGGGCCCCGTGCCTCTCAGCTAGGTCTAGACATACAGAGGATAGGCAGGCAGTTCTGGGTTGAGGAAAGGGAGTCAGAGACCTGTGCTCTATGTCCGGCTTGTCAAGTGTCCCTGGGCAAACTGAGCCCCCTCTGTCTGCAGGGCTTCTCAGGGAAACAAGGGAGGGGTGCAAACTCCAGGAGGGCATAGGCCGCTTCTGCTTTGTCTGGCCTTGTGTCCCTGGTGCCCAGCCTGGCACGTCATGGGCTCATAGTAAATGCTCGCAGGGGGGAATGAGAGAGGCAACTAGGATTTGCAGCACCGAGGCCTGCCCTTGGGCCCGTGCCCACCTCTCCACAGCTGCTCACCTGGCGCCTAAGGGGCCTCTGAGCCAAAGGGGAGCGGCCCGGAGGGGGCAGTTTGGGGATGGTGCTCCAGGTGGGGGCGCTGTGGGGCTGGAGCAGATGGGGTCCCTCTTTGGGAAGCTGCAGGATATAGTTGGTGTCTGCTGGTTGGGAGTGGACAGACAAGACAGAGCCTGTGGGAGGCGGGGGACAGGGGAAGGAGGAAAGAGAAGAGCTGAAAAGTCAGCCGGCCTGGCTCCCACCTGAGTCCCCTCCCTTCCCCTCTCCCTTCCCAGGGAGGGCCTCCACCCTAACCACAGAACCTTCGCCCCGGTTTGAGAGCCGCCTCCCTCAGGCAGGGGCTGGGCGCCTCCTTTCAGGCTGGGGGGCTCCTCAGAAGTAGGAGAGACCTCTTTTGCTGCCTCATTTCCCCCACAGGTCAAGAATGAGGTCCCCACTGACTGCCCCCGGTGCTGGTACCTGACTGAGCTTTGGGGAGTCCCCAGCCCCTGTGTCCCAGGGACCCCTCAGCAGCGCTTCCATCCCGGCACATGTAGCTGTCATTGGGCAGAGAGTGCGTTCGGCTGACCCCAGACTTCCGCACAGTTAGCAGGTCTGGTCCCAGCATGACGGGCACCTCCTCCGGGTGGGGCACCATCTGCAAAAGAAACAGGGGAGGGAGGTGGGAGGAAGAGGAGGCATCCAGATTGGGTAACTGAGGCAGAGCTGGACAACAGTAACCAAAAGCCCCCTCCGCCACCGCCCCAGGCCCTGGCCCATCCCCTTCTCGAACGAGGTGGTGACGGCATGAATGTGGTCGGGCAGAAGGGGCAGACACACGGAGGAGGCCTCCACACACAGGGAGGGGGGAGGGGAAGGGGGGAGGGGGGAGGGGGGAGGGGGCCCTGCCCCCAGGAAACCGTCCCCACTGCAAACCTTAGAGCCTCCCAGCAGGGGTGGCAGAGGGGTGAGGAGGTGTCCAGGGGAGGGAGAGCAGCCCCCAGCCCCCAGCCCCCATCCCTGCAGGTGGCTCAAGAGCTCATGCTCAGGGCGCCGTGGAGACGGGCTGAAGAACCACACTGGAGGACTGAAAGCTAATAGCACGCCCCTAACCCCCCATGCTGAGGCTGCGGGGGGAGTGGGGAGTGAGGGAGGACCCTTCCAGTGAGCAGGAGACTTGGCAGCTGGGGACTGCCTGCAGAGAGGAGGCGATGCTACCTTCCC